TACGGTGCAAAGGTTGGAGATTGACCTCGAGCAAAAGCAAGCGGAACGTGACCGTCTCTACAACGATCTGGAAAACACCACTGAAGACTTCCATGCTCTACAACAAGAAATGAAGAATGTCAGTGAGAGTCTTTTGCAGCTCGAAGACGATCGGGATGCAAGCCTTCGCAAGATCCAGAACCTTGAATCAGAGCTTGGCGACGCCAATGAAGAACTGAACAGGCAAGATAAGCTCCTTAGTGAGGAGAGGTCGAAGAATGAACGACTTGATGTCCAGCTTGAGTCTTGTCAGGGTGAGATCGATTTCCTGAGAGAAGAGCAAGAGGGCGACAAGATCAAGATTGGCGAGCTGGAATCGGCGCTGAACCATACTCAAGTCACATTACAAGAGGCTAGAGAGCGATCTCGGGATCTTGAGGAGCGCATGGCCGAGGAGAGGCAGCAACGCGATGCCTTGGAGACCCAAGAGAAACAAGAGGTGGAGAAGATCATCACCGAACTCAATGGTCAGTTGTCGAAGCTTAAGGAAGAGAGCAGGAAGCTACGAAAGAATCTCTCAAGCAAGGAAGTGGAGGCATCCACTTGGAAGCAACGGCATGACGAGTTGGAGCAAATGCTTCGTGAGTCACTGGGCAACCTTAACGGCACGAGGTCGAGCCTCTTTAAGGTAAGTGATGTTACTCCCGATCGTCTAACAACATACTAACTGATCGTTCAGGATATCGCAAAGCTTCAACGAGATCTCCAAGCGACTATGCAAGAGCTCGATGTCGTCAAAACCGATCTTGCGGAGAAAGACCGTTTGCTGCGCAACCGCGATGCTCTCTTGGAGAGCACTGGCATGGAGAGCCGCCGTCTTTCAGAGCTGCTCGAGCGCGAACGTCAAGGCCGTCGACAAGACCAAACAGCATTCGAAAACGCCAAGCGTGGTCATCAATCCACTACCAGGGCGATCCAGCAACACGAATCGAGGGTTCTGGAACTTGAAACCCTTCGTAGTCAGGATCGGCAGAGACTCCACAGCCTGGAGAAACAGTACAAGGAGCAGCTGCTAGAACGAAACAACCTGCTCTACGCTCTGTGGAATCGACTGTCCACTCTTTGCGGCGCAGAATGGTCCCGCAATAACGCTCTCATCAACGGAGAACTGACTTCCATGGAGCTCATTTCTAGGAACGTCCCGGGCTTCCACAAGAACATCATTCTTGCGGTGAGGACCGTGGAGGGTGTCATTGGTGCCTTCAAGCAAAGAATTCGCAACATAGAAAACAATCTGATCCGCGACTACCAAACTCTCGAGCATAGTCTAGACTCTCGCGCCAAGCGACTTGACCAGCTCGAGAAGCTTGTAATGGCCCAACGGCAATCGATTGGAAGACCTAGCACTGTCCGTGGCGGTATCGTCGACCTCAACACCGCGGAAGTCAACAAACTGCGTACTGAGAACAAGACCTTACGATCCGAGGTCCAGACCCTCCGCGCCATTACCGCCACGACGCAATCCGGTAACGATGTTATCGTCAGCCGCTCACCATCACGTGCTGCCTCGCCGACCTCCTCCAAACGTGCCAGTATGGCGCAAACACTATTGCGTGCTCACTCCGCTTCTGTCGTGGAGCGTTTTTCGACTTCGAATTCGTCGACGCCGACGCCAGGCCATCCCTATCCCGCCGCTGGACCGCTTCAGCCAAGCGAACAGAAGTGGATACATCGACTTAAGGAACTCGAACGGCGTTTGAAAGCTGAGCGTGAAGCCCGACTCCTTGACCGAAGCGGTGCCCGTAAGAGATTAGAGCAGAAGGTAGAAGAGAATGCGGACCTCAGGGCCGCGCTTGAGAAGGAGAGGGACCGTCGAGACGAAGATGGCCCAGATGATGTCCAAAGGACTGCGTCTGCGAGTGGCAGTCGCATCGGTGGAAGTGGACGTGCCAGTGTGGTTGGCAGCGTGAGACACACTAATGGCAGTGGCAAAGAGAGAGAAGAGGAGATGTATTAGTGCATTTCCTATGCGGTGACTTTTCCCTTCTTGTACCAACCTTTTCTTCCTTTCTTGATAGATGCTTTAGCGATTTGCGTTCGACTTTCCGCTTATCTTTTCTTACGACATAACGAGTGACGAGGTTGCTTGGTCGGCGCATATAGGCATTATGGGTACACTTCACGGAGTAGTCGTTGCAAACCATATATTAGAGGAGTGGACGTATAGCATGTTTGTAATTGAAGGCGTTTCCTTACAACTCGTAGTACATGGTGTTCCTCTATGTATTTGAGTACGCCAATCACGACTAACATCTTATGGACAGCACCTCAATGGCAAAGGGACACCCGTGTAAAGCAGCCATTCAATGTCATGTGTGGGAGCAGATCAATCTCGGCATAGGTGAGTTAAATTAATCGGACGCCTTATCGAACGCGGCTCGCCGGAATGTTGCCTTTACTCGCTACCCGCTACCCTGCAATGACTGTCAACCCTCTGGCCTTTAAAAGATAATTCTCATCCTTCATCAGCTCAATTTCCTCTAATCCCCTCTGACGTCGCGAAGCATTGCTGGGACATGTGACAAGCCGCCGGCAAACAGCATACTCGCCTCCGACGACTCTCTCACCGATCTGCTACCTAGTTGTTGAGGCATAGTGCAAGGCAGCATCTATCGAAGTTTGCATGTGCAACACTTCAACTACTACACGTACGTCCTCTACTGTTCAAGCTGTCCTCTCACCTGTACCGTTGTTGCGTACGATACGATACAGACAAAGATTTTCTCAAGATTGAAATATGGGATCCAACACTAATCTTACCTGCGATTACCAGACCGCTCGCGAGCGCTTATCTATAAGCCAAAGCCGAAGTAGTCGCAAGTCCGCAGCTTCACCTAATCCTTCCGTTGGGGCTCCAACATCAAAAGCAACGACGCCAATACCCTCACAGGCCCTGCCTGTATCTGGTCTGTTTGCTAGTTTACTATTCGATCGCCAAAAGGTATACCAGCATAAACCGCCTAACTCCACGATACCCCGGACAGTACAGACAGTCGACACAGAAAAGACTATATCAACTGCGCGACAGAGTGAAGCTCGTTCTCATTACAACTCGCCGATACCCTCCAGGACTCATGTGCATCATCTGAAAGAAGCACATCCTGGCCACTTGAAGCCCACCATGGTACCGAAGAAACCTACAGTGAGTGGAAAACGAGCACAGCCGACTAAGCAAACACAAACTAAGAACACTGGAAAGGCTACTCTAGAGAAGTCAAAGAAGCGCAATACACCCGCGCGTGTGACTCCGCGAGCAGCGAAACGTCAGAAGACCGAGGCAAACAGCAAGAGAAAGCTGGACGACAAGGGCAGCATGGGCAACACCATGTCAACTATGTGGTCGACGACGGCTGGCAAGGAAGTCGACCTCATCACTCTATCCGACAGTGAAGACGACGGATATCAGCACGTGCGACAACGAAGGATTACTCGTAAACAGGAAGTGACCGCGGAATTGCATGGATCGAAAGTCGACATTGACGAGGACGCCAAGCCCAGTATCTCTGATTCCGTGGTGACTCCAGAACCCATTCACCTCGATTCAAGGCCAAGACTTTCGACTTTCGACCGACTTCCTAGATGGGACTTCGGCGGCATCTCTCCTCCCACAAGCCCAGCCAACCTCTACAGTGCACCTCCACGTCTGCGGCACGATCATCAAGACAACATGGCGGATTCGGAGGAGAAGCATACTAACGAGCAAGAACAGTCGCGTCCTGAAGTCGACACCGTCAAGGCCGAGCTCGCCCGACAGAAGGTACTCCACGAGAAGGAACAGAGCGATCGTGATTTGGCCCAACTCCACTCCAACAACGCGACTGGTCAACAACTCCAGACCCTTCACCGCGATCTCGAGACCGAACGCGAAAACCTGCGAAAGGCGAACCTGGACAGGGACAGGCTGGGCGTCAAACTCGACAACGTTACTGCAAGGAAAGATCAGCTAATCGGGGAGCTGCAGAGCGAGAAACAACTCAGAAAAGATGAGAAGGCGGAACATGAGCGCATACTCGAAGACGTCATGAACACCAAGGGTTCCGCTAACAGCTACCTGGTCCAAGAAAACCAACGCCTTCAAGCAGAGAACGAGAGCCTCCGAACCTCCGCCGCGCGCAAGTTCACGTTCACGTCTTCGCAGGTACCCCAGGCGCCGGCATACCCCTCGATCTTCACCCCAGAGTCCTCCCAAACCTCCCAAGCTGTCTATCTCCCTTCTCCAGCCCCGTCCTCGATCACTACACCCGGCGAGCTTACCGACCAGCAGAAAGCGGAGAACCTGAGGAAGAACTACCTCAACCTCAACGAGCGCAACAGCCGTCTCAAGTCCGCCGCGGAGAAGCTGACCAACACTACCAAGGGCATGGACCTGACTAGTTTCGGGGAGTTTGGCGTATATCTCAGGCAGATGAAGATCGTGATGGACAACGATGCCAAGAAGGGCAAAGAGAAGAAGGAAGAGGCCAAGAAGAGTGAGGATGATGCCAAATAGCACGGCTCATCAGCCTATGGACAGCATGGCCGCCGGAACTGGAGCGTGTGCGATGAAGAAGCGTTTCTTTTCCGATACATTGCTCTGACGACGGGTCGGAAGCTAGGGCCTGGGTATTACGGACATTGAGTTTGTGCTGCGCAGCGATGAGCGCCTTTTCTGGTATGGGAAAAGTCAATTGCTTAGATGCACATGAGTCGGCTGGTTTGCGTAGAGATATCTCATCGCAGATCATGTCTTTGGGGATATTCGCACGCAGGTGTGCGCGTTGACAGGTGCGCGTTGACAGGCACGCAGCGTGGCTGAAACCAGGGACTCATATGAATGCGATCATCTTCATCATATAGTGCGGTGCCTACACTTTTAGTTTGAGACAACTGTGACGTGAACATAATGATTGCTGGCCAACTACTCCAAAAAGCAGGATGATGCGACCCCAATTTGGTAGAGGAAGTTTCTACAGGTGAGGGCCTCAGAATCCATAGTGAATAGTGATAGCAACACCGTCAACATTGCACTGCCATCCAGGATACTGCCAAGTAAGTTAGTATGATAGCACATCCCCAGAATCTCGTATCTCAGACGTACCTTGGCTCTCGCCCAAACCAACACACGATCTCCCGGCTCCAACGCATCCAAGAAGCCTTCTCCACTACCCGCACCCTCGTTGCCCTCATCAACCTCACATAGCCCACTTTGATCCCATGAAACATGATAATCTTGATCAACAGCCATAACACGGTTTCCCTGGAGGTACCAAGCAAAATCCCCCTCACCACCCTGCGGCCCTTGCAGCGCACTCTCGGGCCTCTTGACAAGCGACCAACCGCGCCCCACCATATTAGTATGATAATCCATCGGACTACTAATCCAAGTATTTACCAAGCGTGGGGCAGGAAGTAGACTGTTGATATTCGATGCATCGCGCAGGATGGACACTTCAAGCCATGACGATGTGGAAAAAGTACCCTGCGTGTTCTCGCTCGTCCAGCCTTGGTCTTTACTCATGATATCGAAGTCGATGCGCTTAATTTTTGCTGTTTCGCCGCCTAGTTTGGCTTCTTCCACGATGGGGGTGGAGTAGGGGTTGGCTCCGAGACAGAGAGTTGCTGCTGACGGGTTGTTCATGCCGGCGCGGGCGACGATCTTTCGGCCTGACTGGAAAATCTCTACGACTGGCCAGTATTGCGCGTGCTCTAGTATGCTGAGGACCAGCTCGGTGGGTAGTTTGAGGGTCTTGAGCGCGGCGCGGGCGCGACATACGTCGGCGTAGGTTGTTGGTGTGAAGGGGCGAGTTGGTTCAGGTGGGCCTAGCAGCCAATGTATGCTTGGGAGCCATTGCCGGATGCCGCTGAAAAAACTCATTGCTGTGGAGAAGGTTTGCTTTCTCGTTTCAATGTGGTCATAGGAAGTGGTGGTGTGTCAAGGTGCAGCAGGGCAGCGCACGGTTGGGGAAGCTGCCTTGCGCTAGCCGGGGTCGCTGACCAAGGTTGCGAGATGATACCGGTTTTGGGTGCAACGGGCGTGGTCAGTCAAGATCGATGGTATCACATTCAGATTTTGCATCACAAGCACCAGAAAGAGGCCGCGAGTTTTCCCTGCAGGTAACATTGAGAGTCTTGGAGTCCGGAATCGCTCAATAGAACGCCCAGCTCGCATTTAAAATCTTCATTGTAGCTATATAGCCGTGTACCATCCTGTATCATGCTTCCACGGGATGTTTTTCCGACTCAAAATCCGAATTTGCTCTTCATAGCACCCATGACTAGTCCTCTCTTCTGCTTTCCGACAAACTTGTTGACGTCATTTGCCCAACCTGCACTGTTTTGTGAAAGATTGTCCATACTATCCGCAACAATGTTGAGCTTCTCCGTGCGCTCGTTGAGCTGGCGACTCGCCCAAGCACCCCATCCTTCTTGAGTCGGGGATACTTGGGTAGGATAGGACTGATATCCAGCGGCAGAAGAGCTGGCTGCGGTCGGATTGGCGCGGCGTCGTTCCTGCTCTGCCTCTGCTCGCTGCTGCGCCATTTGACGATTTGATAAGGGTCTATCAGGACCACCAACTAAGAGAAGTCAGTAATTGGTTGGGAATAGAAGTAAGAATAGCTTACTGAGAAGATCCATGTCGGCTGGTGTTACATATTGGGTGCCAGAGATCCATTGAATATTGCTGATAGTGGGTCGGGGCGGAATCAAAAGTTCTGGGTTGAGCAAGACATCCTTCGCGCGTTCACTAGATTTGGTCAGTACATATGTCATGGCTGGGGAGATGAGTCGACTTACTATTGCAGTCCCGTTCCAAAAACGTTGACAAGAGCCATTTCCGCAGGCCCTTTCCAGCCAAAGATGTCGCCAGTACTTGTAATGACTGCCTCAGAGAAGCGCCTGATGTCTAAGAAATCACTGAGGTTTACAGACCCAATCTCCTTCAATGCAGGTAGCGAATGCGCTCTCGCATATCCATCTCCATACAACCCAAGCATTGCGTAGCCCTTGTCTTCGTACCTCACTACAGTCGCAGCATCGCACAAGAACTGATCAAAGGTTTTGTGCGCTCCTTTACTTGTGGCGGGACGGAATAACCTCGCGCCTGAGGCTGTTGTGGCTAAAAGGACGCCGCTAATCTTCGAGCCAGTCCGAAGTCCAGCAACGGCAGACTGCGAAGCATATGCTGAGCGACCAGTTTCGGCGTGCATGGGGCTGATGCTGATAACCTTGTCGTCAAGCGAGCACACACCTGCAGGTTTTACTGAGTATTGGCCACTTGATTCTGGCAGTAGCTTGAAGGTTGCCAGGTGGCCAAGATTGGTACCGACGTGAAGTAGAATGCTGGAATAGTCGTCATCTTCGAGTGTCATAACACTGAACTCGAGGCAAGTGGGCCACTCCGCTTTGGGTGCTGCCTGCGTTGAGCTCCGTCGGAAGCTGGCGCGTTTGTCCGGCTTGACAAATTCCTGTATCGACGCTCTGTAGATAACAGCGGGCCCTCGCAAATCAATGATGGCCAGACTGCCACCCTCAAAGCCCGCAGCAACAAAGCCAACATCAGAATGTTTCAAGGCGGTGACTGGTCCATTGCCCTCGTCAAGCAAAGTAAAAGGCAGCAGTCCCTCTTTAAGAGCCGCTTCACTTCTTTCCGAGATATTGGTAAGCGCTTGCGGTTTATTGTCACCCGGTGGGTACTCCTGTCCAGCATGCCTGTTTACACCCCATCTGAATACCACTACTTCACCAGTCTTCAGCCCTACGGATAGTTCGGATGCTGCTCCTGCAAACGAGGTTTGTGTCACGTGTATGTGCTCTGGGCGGCCGACTGCTCGAGCTACGTCTACCTGTAGCAATGCAGGGTTCTCAATCTCATCGGCGTGACCTGCATCCCATAGTCTGATCGTGCCATCTGCATGAGCTGTCTGGACGATGTTTCGATTCTCAAACCGCTTGAGCGGATGAACAGCCTCGGCACCACCGATGAGGAATTGCGGACCGTGTTGGCGCTTCTCGGTCATGCCAAGCCACCGTGTACGCTCTACAGGCGCGAGATTTGCATAATTGATATACGGATGAACAAGCGTCATGGAGAGGTGCAGTTGATTAGTTGGCGTGATGGGCATTCCGCTTGGAAAAGAGAGAGTGATCAACTCCCCAGATGCAAGTAAGGCGAGAATGGCAATGGGGTCGTGGCAGCCAGCGTAATGAGGGGACGTCCTTGGAATGAGGAACAGGTCCACCACCTCCGTCCCAGGCGGGCATGGAAGTATCCTTTGCCTCTTGGGATTCTCGAAGTGATCGGATAGTACTTGCCAGGATGCGGTCGCGTAAACCGGTGTTCTACCCAGCTCGAAAAGCGTCAGACTTTTGGCGGAGATGTTGGATGGCTGTCCGCCAGCGATGAGGATAGCGGTATCGTCAGGGTCCTGGTTCGCACACCACGCAATCTTGAAGATGGGGGACTTGAGTGCAAACGATCCTTCAACGGCACCTGGGCTGAAGCTGCCTGGACCGGGCTTGTCTACGTTTGTATCGGTCAAGGTTCTCGCTTGTACGATGCGGCCATCCTTGGAATCCCATATAACGATACTGCTGTCTTCGTGTCCAGTCAGAACAAAAGTGCCGGTTGGGTGCCAGACAGCCTGGGTAAGCGGAGGTTCGCGGTCCTTGGAGACGGAGACTGGATCCGAGTCGCCCCCAGGGGCTCCTTTGGGTACCACATAGTTGAAGAAATGCAGGGCTTTGTTCTGCTTAAACGAGTAGATGACTGCGCCCGAGTTGTACCCAATGAGGAGGGAGCCGATATCTCGAGGGTGGAGCGAGAGCGTAACAACGGAGGTTAGGCGTGAGCGTGGAAACTTTTCCCTCCACAAGTTGGGTATTTTGAAGGGCGTAAGTGCCTCCCTAGCCAGATCATAGGCGTACACCTCACCGTGCTGTGTACCGAGCAGCGCGTAATCGATGGTAGGGTCGCAGTGCAGCGCCGTGATGCGGGCGGGAGGGGAATGGGCGTTGAGCAGCTTCTTCGTCTCGAGCGAAAAGACGGACAAGTCGTTCTTTGAGTCTACGCACAGTAGCTTCTCGGCGCAAAACTGCAGGATCTTGATCGAGGCGTTGCGCGTGGGCAGCGACAGCACCACTTCGACCCTCTTCTGTCCGAATATGTAGATCTGGCCGGGGCCATACTTGCTGTCGCTCGTGCCGACGGCGAGGAGGGATTGGACGGGGTCGTATGCGACCTGGGTGACTTTGGAGTTGATGCCGTAGTTGCGGATCTTCACGTGCTGTTAGCTTGCGCGTAGAGGGCTGGGGGAACGGCGGGGCGAGAAGACAGCGGGCGCGTACATGGTCGAGCACGAATGAATCAGGGCCCAGGCCCAGGGAGAGGTCGTTGCTGACACCGGCCTGCTTTCCACGCAAGAGGTGAGCCATGGTGGTGTGTGGGTCTCATGGTTTTGTCCGCAGAGACAGCGATGAGGACTGCCATCAGCGACCGTCTGCCCAGCTGCCTCGCCGGAAGGAACGCGTTGCGCGACGTCATTTCGGCAACTCTAAGCGCAATGCAGGGTCCACGCCACGTCACAGCCACAGCTAGCAGTCATGGATAATGCTCGACAGGTCTCCTTTTTCATAAATCTGTTACTTGCTCGAAGAGAGAGCCCGCTCAACTATGACACGCTGGCCCTATTAACTACGTGACATGCGTCGTCTACAAAGACAACAGTGCTTCTGCTAAACAAGAACATGTCCAGAAATGATAATCCTCCCGCTCGTTGCTACTGCCCGAAACGCCAGAAGCTGATCTATGGTATCCAGAACACCATGCAAATCCATGTCCGCTCATCAAAACACCCTAGGTCGACATGGAGGCCCCATTAGCGCCATACATGGAGCCGTTGGGAGGCTGCGGCGTCCCTGATCCCTGCCTACTACTACTGAAACTATTTTGTGCCGCAAGCCGGGCTTGTGCTTGCTGCGCTTGCTGTCTTTCAAGCATCATCTGCTGAGGATTGCTGCCTGCGCCATTGTAGGGAGCAGCGGCACCAGGCGCCTGAGGAGTTGCGTATTGGGAAGGGCCGTAGTATGTGCTGCGCATCTGCCCTCCAGACACGGGCGTGCCATATGTTGGCCGTGTACCATAAGCCGATGGTGTGGGCGCGCCCTTGATGGGTGACACATTCCGTGGCGGCGGTGCTTGTGCGCCGTTGTACATGGGTGCCGCATTTTGTGAACGAGGGTAGAAGCTGCTTTGGTTCTGCTGTGATGCATAACGGTTCTGGCCCTGTGCGGGTGTAGAATTATAGTACTGTGAGCCAGGAGCACCCGTGTAGCTGCTTGGCTGTGCCGAGCGTTGCGGGAAGTATTGACCAGAAGGAGTGGTTCCATAGCTTGGTCGCGGCGTTTGTTGGTTGTAGGACGGGGTTGCAGAGTACCCCGGCCGAGCGTTGGGAGCATAAGACGCGCCACCTGGTTGGAATGTCTGCGCCGCACCCGAAGGCGAGCGTTGGAGGTGCATCGACGATGATCGGTGGAGGGACTGTGGTTGCGAGTACACTGGACGAGCGCCTGACTGAGGCACCGACGGCGCTGGACGGCTGTACTGGTGCCCAGCTGCGGGATAATGCGCGTTGGTTCCAGAACTCGTTCGCGCCAGCGTAGCCGGCGTTGCAGCAGCCATTCCTGGTGTCTTTGCAAGTTTCGATAGCTGATCCTCCTCCAAGACGCCCTTGTACTCTTTGGTGTCGAACAGGATAGTTCGACTGATGTTCAGTTCGTCCATCTGGTCCCCATTGAGTTTGGCGACTGCATACGGCGGAAGCTGCGAAATCAACAAGGTGAGCTGTGACTTTAGTATCTGATAGACGTCGAACTCTTCCGACGAGGGTGTTGACGGGCTGCCGGCCAGGGTCGCGAGTGAAGCATTTTGTACAACAGGAGTGCGTGGGTTGGTTGTGAGGGAGAGATTTCGTATCCTTTGGTACGAGGCCAGTGTCTCGAGAAATTCCGATATCTCCTTGAGCACCTCGTCTGTATCCTTCTCCTCCTCGGTCTTTTCCTCCATCCCAGGTAACACGTCTCCTTGAACCGGGGTGAAGTTCTCGACCGCCTCTTTGAATAATTCATCCTCATCGGTGGTCCCGTTAGTAAGTGCTTGCTTGGCCTGCTCAGGGTCGAGTAGAGCTGGGTCGATCGGGAACATTTCGTTGAAGCGTTTTTCACCAACCTTCTGCCACCAAACCATATTCTTAGTCTCCTCTGGAATAATAGCGGAGCTGTCATCCCGAGTTGGCGCAAAGCTAGAGTAAGCACTGCGAAACAAGGCATCTTCCTTGGCTTGTTGGACTGCAACAAGAATCGCCTCGGACGGGGGTTGCTGCGCTTCGCCCATGCTCAACGCCCGCTGTCTGCTCTTTTGCTTCGCTGTTGGTGAGGTCTGATCTTTCGGCATATCTACCCCAGCATACCCAAGCCAAAAGCCGGAAGACAGGCTCTGATGCGCGTGCGACTGGGAGCCCTTGCGACGAGGTTTGGGCGCTTCCTGGTGCGCAAAGGTGATGGTGCTGTTGCCTTTGCTCGTTGTCGGTCGGGCAGACTTGGGGGGACTGATCTGTGGCAAGTGGGCAGGTGCTCGGAAGACCTCCCCAATAGTCGCAACCTTCTTTTTGCTATCTGATTCTGGGATGGGATATACCTCTGTCGTCGAGATGAGGTTGGGGAGGTTCGTCTCGCGCAAGGGTAGAGTCACCTTGACGGCGGTGTCGAGCGTGGATATTTGGGCGGGGGGTATTTTCTGGGGTTGCTGTAAACTGGAGAATAGCTGTTTCGGCGGCGCGCTCCCGTACAGCGTGAGAACAGTCCGGCTCTGGGGTATCTCTGCGTCTTGTTCTTCCTCCTTGATCGGCACCGGAGTGCCCTCCTCTCCTGAGGCTGGAGCGTCGCCATCGCCGTTGGCTTGCTTTGCTGAGCCAGGTGCTTTGCGTGACCCTTCTCTAGCCACCAGGTTTTTCAGGACGGTCTGGAAGGCGAGCACTTTGCCCTGCAGCGCTGTGTCTTGGGGCGACGCCTGGGCTGCCGACGAATCGCTTGGGCCGCTGGACGCCAGAATCTCTGTGGTAGCGCTCTCGACATCCTTCTCTAGTGCGTGTAGAGAGTCGTACGAGCCGTCTTGTATCAGGTTGCTGATGGTCGCCGGGCCGTTGGGTGGGGTCAGCTTGGTGCGCTTCGAGTCGGCTTCTCCAGAGGCTGATCGCGTTATCGACGAGGTGATGGGATGCGATAAGATGGAGGGTGTCGTGTCGTAGCTATTCAGTGTCAACATGCGACTCAGAGGTGCGGACGAGCTCAGCCAGCGCATGCCGTGCATGGGCTGCTGGCATGGCGGCGATAACGCGCGGGAGCGGGGAATTCTTCGCAGGCGGCATACCTCTTGAGAACTGCCAGTATGTCTGCCAATACTGCCTGCAGAGAGCGCGCGCTGGCATTGGCGCTCTCTCCCGGTGCAGGCGTGGATGCGCCATTGACGGCAATGGCAGGGCGCTCGGCGAGTTTCCGTTTGGCGGCAGAGGGCGAGTTGGGCGCCTGGGGGAGCGAGGGCGGGGAGAGGGTGCCGTTGGCGGCGGCCATGGTGACTTTGGGGTGCTGTTGGCGATGCGCGAGTGATGGCGTGGGATGGAACGCGCTCAGGGCGGCCGGAGTCGTGCTTAGGCGGTTTCCTTCACAGCATGCCCTGTCCGCGATACCGGCAGGCGCGATGCTGAAATTTGGAGAGGCGCGTGACGGGGTTCAAGACGGCTTCCGGTGACGCGCAAATGGTGCCTAGGGGTTGCGCGTGCTGTTGGCGGCTGTCCAAAGTTGACTTGGCTTGGTGGAAGTAAGTGCAGCGATGAATGGAACGCGCAAAGGGCAGCGCCAAGACCACGCCGCAGAGTGCCGCAGCAAATACTACCTGGCAACTGCTGACGACGATGATGATTCTTCCCTCTTTCAATGATCTCTCTAATTCTGTTTGCTAATTCACGAGTGTTCGCTCTCCACACGCCTATCGCTCCTTTGGGTGACGATGTCCAAGTCGTCCACGGGTGGTTTGCGACTGTAGCATGCTGCGCTAGTGACGATGGGGCATGAGCTACCCACGATTTTCTCACTGCACTCGACAACTCTCCGCAATTGGTTTTCGCACGCGTCGCTCCACGTCTATTGCGTCTGATGAATGCCCTTAGTACTCTCCCTGGTAGCTCCAGGTAGTCCGTACCGCTTCGGCCGTCGTGTGACGCGCCTCCTACCGCACTGGGTAGGCCCGCACGCCATGTTCAAGGCTTACTTTGTACTGACCTGTTTTGCAAGTATCTTTGTAATCCCATAACCCATCTTCCAAGGCGGGACATATCACTCCCTTCGACATGTCATCTCTGGATTCCTTCAGCGTCCCTGCTCTCCCATCACCCCGCGACGCGCAAACCCCGCCGCGGTATAGCCTCTCCTCACCATGAGGTGCCTCATCGACTTTCGAGGCACTACTCCGCGCCGATCCCTAATGACAACGCCTTCTTTGAGAGTTCTATAGATGCCTTTTCAAGCAATCTAGGTACAGATGCTCCATCGGACGCCTCTTCGCCGTTCCCAGACACGCTCGAGGATGCAGAGGAGGATGGTAGATTTCGACCGCAATGGTCCCGCGCCACGAGGAAGGCCAAGCGTCCCAGCAGACCTGCGACAGTCCTGGAATCAATGGATCGCTCGGCTAGAAACCTCTACTTCGTTTCGCCGCCCACTGCGACTGATTTATCCTACACTGCGCCCCGCTCTGCGTTGCGAGGACGCAAGCCGAAGCCTGTACCCTCCGTCAGCACCGAGCTGCTTCCTGAACCTGTCTCCCTTTACTCGATTCTTGCCCGATATCTCCAACATCTTGCGGAAATGGCAACGGATGAGTCGACGTTCCAATATACACCGCGGGAGCTGGAGATACTACAAAATCGAGGCTACACGGTTGAAAGTGTTCAACGATGGGCGTCTTGTCTCACAGAACCGCGATCGACTGCAGCAGTCAAATGCTTCGAACAAGGGGTCGAGATACCACCTCTTTTCCTGCTTCTACTGTTCCTACGTCGCAAGCACATCAGAGTACCTGCTCTTGGTATCGTCATGAGGCACGTTGGTCGTATTGCGCAGTCAGAATCGATAAGCTGGTCGGAGCTCAAGATCATCACGACCCGTTTACTTCGCCATGGGCGCGAGCTCTGGCCCGAGTCAATGCCATGGACTGCGTCCTTTTTCGTTGCCGAAGCAAGCCGACTCTGCGATGATTTTTCTGGATCCAATCCTCTATCCCTTGATATGCTTTCCGACTTGACGCAGTTTTGCAACACATTCTTGTTGCTACTATCGCTACCCACATCTGCCCGCCCTGTAGTCTTCGCTGCCCAACAAGAAAAGGCTCAATTCCAGATCCTTCAATATATGGCGAGTAGGTCGCCTGCAATAACGGTGACACGCCTCGGTTTTCGGTCCGTTGCGCGCAATCAGCTGGCACATGCGAAAACGCTTCAAGAGAGAGAATGGGCTGAGCTCAAAGGGCCTACCTGGCCACCGTGGAAGGAGAATCGCACAGCAATGGATGAGGATAAAGGCTACGAGTTTGGTGCCTCGCGAGCTTCCCAGCTCTTGCACCGTATGTATGAAGCTGGGTACAGTGGTCGCCTCTGGGAAGATGTAGCGCAAGTGTACGCTGGCTGGGACACCGATTCTAGTCCTACGATACAGACTCGAACCTCTTTACCGCGCATCTCCTCCCAGTATCGAGATGCTAAACACCTTCGCCCTCTGCTCTGGGCTGGTCGTATACGAACGACACGCACGCGTAGGGAGGCCTGGGCATGCTTCCTCTCACATGAGCTGTCTGGAGAACCTGCTCATCCAGATATCTATCTTGCAATGTTCGAAAAGTTGTATCATGCTGAAGCAGAGCGATCGTCCCGCACAGAGTTCTCGTCTGATGCAGAAAATACCCATGAAGAAGACACCACTCATATGTTACCTGGAGACATGAAAGAAGCACTCCCCGACCCGCTATCTACTTTGCACTATGTATATCTTAGCGAACCCGTTCCTGGCTACCGAGGGCTACTAAGACGGATGCAGACGGCACACGTCAAGCCTAAACGCCGCTTACTTGCGTTCCTCCTGGAGACATGCCCCGAGTTCGATACGGGTCTAGATTTACTAGACATGACTAGGGACGTTCAACACGGCATGGTAGGCCGAATGCTCGACGGCATTCACGACATGTACACGTCAGGCAACTCAATCCCGGGTTTTCTTTTCAAGGCGATCATTGACTTCTTGTGTCGCTTTGGAAGCATCGACCAGTCATCTTTTCACAAAGTTGATTTCCTACCTCCAGAACAGCACGTTAGTCAGCTCAGGTCGAACCGGCAATATTGTGTCGAATACGCATACATGCTTCTCAAATACTATCGACCGATCTACCGACCAGCCTGGGCTTGCATGATAAAGGTGCTGGCGTCTCAGAAAGGGCATAAGCATGTTCTAAGTGTTTCTCGGTACAAGCTCATTTGTTCCATTGTTGAAAATATGGAAGAGATTGATCTTGACGTCGACGACGAGATATTCCGTCTGGTCTGTATTGCGACTATGTACGCCGCTCAAGCCGTCGAACGAGGCTCCGCTTCTTTTGAAGATACACGATACATTCTTTCCACTGCCTCCTCTCGCCTTCGTACGCTCTTCAATGGCCTAGTCGGTGCTAGTGCAGATGCGCAGTCGCCTACGGGTGATCAGACAGCCAACGTCATTTCACCACACATTCCGGGGCCCGCGGAGCTACATGCCTATGTACGAGGGCTAGGTATTCTCCGGGATTATGAGGGTCTTTACTCATTCGCCACCTGGTTCACCAAATATCATGTTGAGGTGACGGCGCGTGCAGAAGCTCAACGCTCAGGCAGGCACCTTCTGTTCAAGACGCTCGTGGCGTTGCGCCTAGCTGTCGATGGAGGCGGATTCGGACCAGCCAACGATCACACATCCGGTGCACCAGAAGACATAGCACTTCTCATCAAGACACAGATCGAGAGTGTTGAACAGTGGGGCGGTTGGCCTGCAAAGGAATATGTGGACATGTATGCCAAGGGCCATTTAAAGTCCGCACCACCCGTTGTTGGAGGACGCTAGAAGACGGTGGAATACGAGCACTTTTTATTCCATGTTTTCACTGCTCTTGATATACTGTACAAGTAGACCACTCGCGCATATCCGAGGACAGCAATCTAAACTTAAACGTCAACCAATGTTTCCGAGACCGTGGCGAGACCTTTCCTCCAACCATGCCGTCGCCTCTGCGAAATCTTCTAGCCAATCCAACTCCGCGTCGCCGCGCGGAAGGACGGGCAAGCCTGCTGATTGAAACCGTGAGGCACGTATACAGAGTTTCGGAGTGAGCCCACGCTCGCTTATGTGCTGATTCTCCAATGCCTTGCATAGGTCCGTAACCCCATCCACCTCTCTTGCTGCATCCTCCCCCGCCCAATCCGGTGCATTCTCCATGATCGCTTGGCACTTTTCCACAATCTCCACCGGCGCGGATGGCGCCCCGTCAAGACCATCATAAAAGTATTGTATTTGGCTCTCATACGGCACAAGAGGAGGATACTTGAAGCGGAAGGGTTTCACATCCCTGCTGTTCCAGCGAGCGGTCTTCGCCCGTTTAACCATCCTTTGTGCCTCGCGCCGCATTTGAGTGGGAATATGCTCCGCATTGAATTCGTCGGGAGCCTTGGTTCGGGGGTCGAATGGCTGCTTTAGACGGGTGGGATGGGCCTCGTAGATATCCGCCAGTCGGTAGAGTTCCGCTGCTAGCGTTTCTGCTCTGACTAGACGGACTTGTTGATACATGTCGACAAAAGCTGCTAGTTTATCGGCGGAGAATACAGCCCCGTCTGCATGGTGCTGGTATTTGTAATCCCTCTCACCTAATTCGGGAATCTTAGAGAAGATTGCTGAGGCTTGCACCGGCAATTTTGGGAGAATCGGTACGACGATTCGGGAGTAGTCTTTGTGGAACGTTGTCCAAGTCTCAGTGAGGATGATCGCGTTTAACTCTGAGAGCCACCTTGTTCCCAGCTCCCCTCGTTCCTGTCTGAAACGAGTCCAGTTCTTATCCAATTCATGCTTCCAGTCTGAATTGCGATAGGTCAGAAAGTAAAGGCGGCCTTTGTCTTTGAAGACGTCCGGTAGATCTTCCTTGGATTCCGGTTTCTTGAAACATGCGAACTTTACGCGGTCTGTAATGGAGAGTAGTGTCTGCCATTTACTCATGTCTTCGCCGCGGAAGTATTTACCCCAGAGCGATCGGCTATTCTTGAGGGACCAAGTAAGACGTGGCCCGGCGCAAGAAGAAAGGCGGATTAGTTGGGAGTATTCCAGTTCGTCTAGTATATCACCGTGAAGCTCGCACGGAAGCTTCTCGAGGTCCTGCGCGATGCGCTGGTATCTGTTAGGCGCCAGCTTGGTTTCCATCTTCTTGTCGGATGTAGTTAGAACTGTCGGTCGAAGGCGGGTGAAAGTGGTGCTGCAATGCGATCAATCTCAAATCGTAATCAAAT